CAAAATGCACAACGTGGACAACAAGATCAGGAAAGTCCAGTTCTAAAGAGAAACTGCAGTTAAACATGAATTCAGCAGATTTGTTTTATTTCACTTTCATTTCTCATGTGAGAATTGAAAGTGGATCAGCTGATCTACTTCTTTCCACTCGGTTCATTTCCTCATTTCCCAAACTTGGACTGTTTTCACAGAAAACTTAATAGCTGCCCGTGATTTCCTTGAGATGACGCTCAGTCACGTGTGTTGATATTGTGACTACAATCACATGTCTGTTGTGTATTTAAATGTGGATGTTTCTGTGTGAGATCAGCAGCCGTCAAACCTCATCCAGCCGACCACGTCTGCACACGTAAGTCTCCATTCACTCTTTATTTTACTCTGCTGAAAATTATCTCCCAACACTTTAGTATCATCTTATTAATTAAAGGTGGTAATAAGCTATTGTTGCCATATGTTCCTCTGGGTTCAGTTTACTGGTTTCTCAGAGTGAAGACAGCACATGAATACTGTGATTGTGTGCAGATTGTTACTCTTACTATCCTGATTCCTTGTTAAAACCTTTGTATATCTGGACTCTTGATTCAACTCTGTTTGGTGCAGGAACCATAATGTCTTTCATCGCCGAGCTCCAAGTGTCTTTGAACAAAGCCGAGGAGTTTGTGCTCCGTGAACAAGGCTTCAAGAAAATCTTTGTTAACCTGAACGAAGGAGCCGGGGGAAACCTCGTCTACCTCTGGTACAAAAAAGGCGATCACGCAATTACCAGGATTCAGATTTCCTTCAACGATGAGATGTCCACGGGTCTGTCCAGTGCCGGGTTCAAAAAGATCGACAAAAACCTCAACGAGGGGGCAGGTGGAGGCTCTGTCTACCTGTGGTACTACAAAGGTTCCTTAAAGTACGATGTTCCCATCAGGAAACTCGACGTCTCCGTACTAGCAGGAGATGAACCCTACAAGTATAAACTGGGCTGGGAGAGACTGGCCTGTGACCTGAACCACGGCGCTGGAGGGAACTGGATCTACCTGTGGTTGAAGAGAGAGAATCCCACCTACATCTGTGACATCAAGGCCACTGCTAAGTTTGAGGAAGATGACGACAACTTCAATGATGGCTACATCCGGGTGGATGAAGACACCAACAGGGGAGCAGGAGGGCCCTACATCTTCATCTGGTACCGTCAAACCACAGACCCCAAGGACGCCATCAGCGAGCTGGAAATCTCCTCCAGTGATGTCAAGCAAAGCAGCCTCCAAGACCAAGGCTTTGAAGTCGTGAACCAGGATCTGAACGAGGGCACCAAAGGAAAGGAGGTGTTCCTGTGGTACAAGAAAGACAGCGGCAGCGCTCCCATCAAGGCCGTGACCGTGCTCGCCGACCCAGCGGCTAAGGAGGCGTATGACCGTGAAGGGGTCAAAGTGAACCCAGAAAACCTCAACACAGGCAACCCAGGAGCTGCGCCCGTGTACCTGTGCTATCATAACTGAGCACTGAGCAGAAACCAGAGTTTGATGTTTGTTTCTT